CTGTGTGTGTGTGAGCATAAGACTCTGGTGATGACCACTATGGCTCGCAAAGCAATCACACAGAAGCACGACAGACAGCAGGCATGATGTGTTACATTAGAGGAGCTGTTTGTGATCGATTCCCAAAAAGGTGCATGGTCCCGGCGGCCAGTCACACAGACCCAAACACACAGCACGGACCGGGCTGTAGTGACAATGACGCAATGAAGTGCTCATTTATCTTCTGTGACATTTTACACCAGCTCCAAAACGAAGACAAACCGCGTTGTACTGAATTCGCAGAAAAGCATTTTCCCAGCTGGAATTGGTGCCTTTGATAAAAGCGTGAGCACCACAGGGGAGGCGCGTGTGCATTTCAGCGCGCTCCAGTCTAATCTACATGATCTGCCAAACAGGACTTAAGTTTCACAGTCACAACAAAATAGAAATATTTAATGTTAAACAATTAGCCTTGGAACAGAAAAGCTGCAGCATCCAGGTTGCATATGTTGTCGCATTGATTTTATCTACAGTAGTCAGTTACAATAATGTGATCAAATAACAGGTCTTTCAAAACTTTTTTTTACTGCTTTACTCCATGCCCTGGAAAAATTTCGCCTCAACTTCAACAAGCTGCTGCCACCTACAGGCCACTCTAAATATGTCAGTGCAATATCAGGAAACGGGTGGCAGCGTTTCCGAGGTTGCTAGGCATTGCACAATATTTTCATGGGAAATTACCTGCCAGTAGCACGGTATGTCACAAATAAGTACTTATTTTACTTTCATGTCATTTCAACATTTCTCTAGTCCCTCCTAAATACCCCCCACCCAATTTAAACACCCAGCCTCAATGTTCTGGGCGTGCATCTGTCCATCCACCCGTCTGCTAATAGCTTCTCCTGGTCCCAGGACAGGACAGAAGCGTGAGACTCATGACAGGAAACAGCGAAGTCCTTAAAAAGCTCAGTCAATCTTTACCAGCGACTCCACACCCGACGGTGGCGCAGAGACACTCATGTTTAATACGAGTCCAAAGATGTAGAACTGGTGTGGCGTCCCGGTCTCGGCTTTGTTGAAATAGTTCTTTTGTAGCTATTGTTGTTGTTCTGGGGGGCTCCCGAGGGGCAGGATCATTGATCGATTGATGGTGATGGTGTGGGGGAGGGGGGGCGGGGGTTCCTCCTCTCTGTGTCTCCGTCTCTCTGTCTGTCTGTATATGTTCCTCCTCTCCGTGTCTCTGTCTGTCTCTCTCTGTTTCTCTCTCTGTATGTTCCTCTTCTCTGTGTCTCCGTCTCTGTTTCTCTCTGTCTGTCTGTCTATATACATGTTCCTCCTCTCTATGTGTCTGTCTCTCTCTCTCTCTTTTTCTCTCTCTCCGTGTCTCTCTCTCTCTGTTCCCTCTGTCTGTGTATGCTCTCTCTCTCTCTCTCTCTCTCTCTCTCTCTCTCTGTACGAATTTGTAAGGCGTGGCTGCACTCGTTATTAATTAAAAGGTTTAAGAAAAACATCTGATTTATTTAGTAAGGAAACTATTTCACGCATATAAAAGACATTTCCTCTTGTGATAATGTGTCTTTTTAAACATTTAGTCAGAAAAACAAATGAACGGGGACAATGTCCGTAATAACATTTTCCAGTCATTTAATTGTGTGGTATTTACTCCGAGAAAAATGTTTTTTTTAAATCCTTAAACACATATGATGACGAAATGCCCTAAACCTACTTTCACAAAGATCTTTTTGCGCAAATTTTGTGCAAAATCTAGGCCACTTAATTGCTTTAATCTTTAAACTAAAAAGAAATTATATTTATTTATCTTAACTTTTAAACAGTAATGGATAAAGATATTATTTAGATAAATAATATTTCTTACAATTCCTTGCCTGAAGGATGTCTCTATTCTGTATGTGTGAAAACTTGTTAACATCGATGGTCCAAATTTAGTCCAAAGTCAGGTCAGGATACATTCATACCGCTTTAAAAAATAACTATTTTAACCCGGCTCTCAACTCTTATGCATTGACCATAAGATACAACCAGTTCACACGCCACACCTTGTGTTTCTCACGCTGAGACGTAAGGAATAACCTCCACCAAGGTGACCCATTATATAGGATTAATGGACTAGGCACAGGCATACGGAGCGGAGTTTTCCGCCGAGATGATAAATGTCCAGAGTTAATATTAACCTACCAGCCAATCAGAAAATAGCATTTGTTGTTTCCGGGTAAAATTCAAATTAAGTTGCACGCGATTGCGCTGCAAGCACTTTATTACATAGATGCACCCACAGATGGAGGGCAGACAAGGTTTCGCCCGTAATGTCATCTCATTCCGAACTTTTGATGAATCTTGAGAGTTGATTTTAATGATTAACAGTTTTGTTTGCTCTGATGTGCTCCGCATGCTGCCGAATTCTTCTCACCGGGAAATGTCCGGTATCTTTAAATTAAATTGTAAATGGATGTATGAAAAAAAAACAGTTGGTTATCTGAAAACTTACGCAAGATAGTAAAATGATGCAAGAGAAATCACGTTTGCTAAAGTTATGTCAGAGAATTTTTTTTATAAAGTAATGTATATGGTTGCTTGAATGGTGAAATTTACCATCGTCTCCCCGTTTAAAGTAATGTGGCATTTGTACAAAACTCGATCTGATTACCGTCATTAATATGAATGATCACACCAGTGTCGCTCAATCAATAGGCCTATTCGGCCGCCTAGGGAAGCATCTTCTGATGGGGGAGCCGACTTAACAAACCGCCCCCATCCCGCAACACCGTCGGAGACGCGGCGAAATTTGTGTGTGTGTGTGTGTGTGTGTGTGTGTGTGGAGGGGGGCAGTACATGCATTTCGCCGGCCGAAGTAGGAAGAGAGCTGTGTATGTGTGTGTGTGTGTGTGACTGTGTGTGCATAGGCCCTCTGCTCCTTCAGGGGGCGCTGTCCCCCACAGCGCGAGGAGAACCGGCGCCCAGCCGACGTGCTGCTGGCCCTTTAACTGCGGAGCCTCTCTGAGGTCCGCGTGGCAACTGTGAGCACTCCAGATCAGCTGGGCGGCTCGCGCTCGGTGGCTGTCACGCTTTGTCGGTCGGTGTATTTCACCAAAGCCGCGCCATTTAACCGTGTCGCTCGCATCCTCACTTTTCAAGCCCCTGTTAAGGCCGAATCTCTGCCATAAAACCCGGCACCATGACGGAAGACCTGGAGCGCATTCTGTCCCAGCTGACGCAGGCCGACAGCGCCGCCATCCAGCAGGTGAATCACATGTACAAGCTGCCGTGTCCGTAGATTTTTGGATCTTTCTATTTATTTTAAGTCTGTATGTTTGTTAGCCGCCGGATTTCTGTCGAGTTGTAGTCTGATTAGCTCACTGCCAGGTCTAATGACTTGGCTTGAGTACACCTTAAACTTATGAAACTTTGTCTGCATAATACAACAAGTCTCAGGCTGGATGTTGGCTATAGTCTTCAATGGGTAACAGTATCGTTTTCCTGAATGTAAACACCCCTTGAAATTTATGCTCCGTGCATAACGATAAATTAAGTACACTAATAAAAGTGACATCATTAATTTACCTAAACTGTCATGAAGTTTTATTGACAGGATTTGCATATCCCTTGTAGATTATAATTCCTCCCCTTCCCCGCAGTAATGATGCAGAGTATGATATGTCATCATCATAGAGTATTAATGAGTATGTAAGGCAGTATTAGGTGCACATGCTGCTGGATAGTAACAGTGCCTCTGACTCAACCCAGGCTACAGCTCAGCTGAAAATGGCCTTCAGAGACCCAGCGGTAATTCCAGCGCTGTGTGCAGTCATGACCGGATCACAGGATCCCCAGGTAAAGCATGTTCAGGGTGGCTGGCATGTAATCCAGTGCTGTGTGCAGTCATGACCGGATCACACGATCCCCAGGTAATGCATGTTCAGGGTGGCTGGCATGTAATCCAGTGCTGTGTGCAGTCATGACCGGATCACACGATCCCCAGGTAAAGCATGTTCAGGGTGGCATGTAATCCAGTGCTGTGTGCAGTCATGACCGGATCACAGGATCCCCAGGTAAAACATGTTCAGGGTGGCTGGCATGTAATTCAGTGCTGAGCTGCTTTTCACTGTGTTCTGACTGCACAGTTGCACAGGTTCTACTGTTAGTCAGCTTTTGTTGGTTGATTAAAACGTATTTTGATAGACTGAGTAATTTCAGTATAGGTAAGACTTTAAATGGGAAAGTGTAATGCGGTCAGCTGCCTTTCAAGTTGTGTGTTTGCTCCCCTTCACCTTCCAAATGATTCTGCGTTTCACTGCCTTGTATAATGAGCATGTATATACAGTATGTGTGTGTATATGATATATGCATTTTGTTTTAAGATTCGGCAGTCTGCTGCAGTGATGCTGAGGATGCGGGTGAAGAAACACTGGAAGAAGATCAGTCCAGACCACAGAGAAAGGTTCCCCAAACTGTCTTTGAAATACAATCGTATACTGTATCCATCCATCTTCTGTAACCCAGGATGGGGCACCAGCCCATCGCAGGGCACACTCACAGACCAATCACTCACACTCACAGACCAATCACTCACACTCACAGACCAATCACTCAAACTCACAGACCAATCACTCACACTCACAGACCAATCGCTCACACTCACACCTACAGGCAGTTTGGTAACTCCAAATAACCTCAGCATGTTTTTGGACTGTGGGTGGGAAACCGGAATACCGGGAAGAAACCCCACGATGACATGGGGAGGCCATGCAAACTGCACACTCATAGAACTCGGGCTGAGACTCGAACCCAGGTCTCTGAGGTGTGAGTGACAGTGCTATCCACTGCACCACTGCCACACCTACTGTAATCAGGATAGTTCAGTTATACATATATATATATTCCACAGCAAGTTGTCCCAAGCACTTAGCAAGAGTGTTGTTAGTACACAGACAGTAAATGGTTCATGATACTGGGAAAAATGGAGGAAGCCCCATAGTACTGAGGAGTAAAAACCTTCAGGGTCCCGGGTGGACGAGCTTCTAGGCATAAACTGTGGTCAAAGTCAGCTTGCCTTTAAATGAAACGCTTAATTCCTAGACTTTTCTGTAAGAGCCTCTGCATGTCCTGTAAAGTTAAGTCATACAGACTGAATTTAAACATTATTCCTTTTCTGTTTACTTTTGACAGCTTCTTCATTTTCTCACGCACTAATAGGGAAAGCATATTCCTTTCTTCATTTGACTTGCATATTTACCTTTATTATACATGCTAATATTGTAAATCCTTAGCTTGTGAATATTTTTTTCCAAATACATGATTTATTTAATTAATTAAAAAAATACTTTATTATTTACTTTTTCCTGCTCTGTAGCCTGAAGGCTGTGGTTCTGCAAGCATTTCAGCAAGAGACAGAGTGAGTACATTTGGACTTTGCTGTGTTCATGATGTCTCCACAGTATTTTTTGTTTATTGACGTGACATTTTCTTGGTGAAGAACAAAATGGGAGAATTCAAATTAAGTATCTGACTGCTTGGAGTGGCATCAAAGTAAGAAATGCCCGCGTGGTAATAACAGACACTTACTAGGCAGAAACTGCTGCATAATCGGGTCAACATTATATGAGTCATCCCAGGGTAATGAACGTCAAACTTATGGACAACTCAGACTTACGAGCGGACTGCCATAAAGCCCGTTATATCAAATGTTCTAGTTAAATACAGTGGCTCGTGATAGTGAACATGCACACTACTTTGTGACACTGTACAGTGCCGTATGTAGTTACTTTGTATAAATAATATAATTTTTTGTATTATTATTATTATTATTATTATTATTATGAATCATTTATTGTTCGTTTTTACCTACCAATTCAACTGAAAGACAGACTCAGGAAATGCAGCTCTTAACCTGGGACTGCCTGGGTCCCCTCAGCTTTATCCGACTGAGTGCTGGGTTTGTTGTGCTGATTGAACATGCAGGTGAGCCCCTCCTGCGTCGGTGTCGGGCCCCCCCCGGCGTCGGTGTCGGGCCCCCCCCGGCGTCGGTGTCGGGCCCTCCTGCGTCGGTGTCGGGCCCTGAGAGAACTGTGTCCCCTCTCTGTTCTCAGACACGTGGTCCGGCACTCGCTGTCCCAGCTCAGCGCTGTGCTGGTGAAGCACGAGACGCCTGACCGCTGGCCCGCATTGCTGAACCTTCTCAACCAGTCCACCAAGAGCTCCAACCCCCAGGACAGACAGGTATCCCTGGGCAGCCGGGCCACTTTCACCGCTGCTTCCAGCCCAGGGAGGAGGACGGGGGCTGTAACCTGCGTTTGATTTTACCGTTCGGAATGTCTTGTGACTTACTGATGTTTTTGGTGACGCGTTCGACAATAGCGCCTTTCACGACGGAGTTGCCCCGAGGTGCGTCACATGGCTGTGCCGTGGTGCGTCACATGGCTGTGCCGTGGTGCGTCACATGGCTGTGCCGTGATGCAGTACAGCATCATTTTATGGAGTCTGTACGGACGCCTCACAGCAGAAACACTGCAGGTCCCTGAGAGCTCACCTAGGCCACTCCTCCCCTTTGCAGGTTGGCTTGCTGCTGCTCAGTAAAGTGGTGGACTCCAACCCGGAGGCCTTCAAGCCTCACTACCGGCAGCTTCTGCGGCTGTTTGACACAGTGCTGCAGGACCTGAGCAGCCCCACTGCCTTGTACTACTGCATTCTCACCCTGACGGCCATCACTGCCCACACCGGACAGGGGGAGCTGGTGAGTCCGGCTGCTGCTTGACGGCGAGCCCTCTGGGATGCACTTTCTAATGCCTTACAGGTAGCTGCGATGCCTTATGCTGCAGCTGTGTGTTCTGTGTTTATGTACATTTAATATGATTTTCAGAACATGATGCGCTCCCTTGTTCCAAGGCTCTCAGTCGCCATAAGACATCTTGTCAAGGCAGATCAGGTGGGTCTTTTAATATTAAATACTGGCATCTCAATCAGTTTTGTCGAACTGCCCTTTGAAGCATCACATACTGGCTGTTACTGGTTAATTTGACGAACTTATGTAAATAATAGGATCAGGCTAGTGAGGCAATGGAAGTGTTTGACGAAATGATGGAGAGTGACATTTCCGTCATGGTTCCCCACGTCTCCGATATCGTCCGCTTCTGGCTAGAGGTGAGTCCCTGGTGCTGAGCTCTCGTATCACAGTCGCTCAGCGTCACAACGTTCAGCTTCCTCCCTTTAAGTAGCTGCTTTTTGTGGATGAAAACTATTGCAATAAGCTGTATATGTAAAGCGCGGTGCACCTGCTGCGTGTGACAGATTGCTGCAGATGCATCTCTCAGCGACTCCCTGCGAATGAAGGCTTTGTCCTGCACTGCGTTCCTCATCAGACTCAAGAGCAAGGTAGCTGTCCTTTAACGCCTTGTACAGCATCTCACAGTATTTTCTTCTTCTCTAGCCGTTCTTTTTCTGCTAATGCACACATGTCCACTTCTTGCAGGTTATTTTAAAGCAGAAGCTGCTGAGCCCTATTTTGCAGACTGTGTTCCCGGTGCTGAGTGCGGCGCCCCCTCCTGGGCAGGAGGACCCCGAGGATCAGGAGGATGCAGAGAATGGTGAAGATGCTGAAAACCCCAAGCACTTGGCCGCTCAGGTAGGCTGTCAGGGAGCCCGACGTCGGCCCTTGTCCTGTTTGTTCCTGGCACAAAATAATACCTCACTGAAATTTGCTTACCTTGTGAAAAGCACCACAAATTTTTCCCATAAATAGTTTTTCTTGCATTTTTTTACAGTAGTTGTATTTTACCGCGGCTCCTAGCCTCTGTCTTTTGCCTGCTTAGTTTCCCATCCCCTCGTATCTTTACCAGTCTTGCTCCCAGTGTGGCGCTCTGCCCACGACCTGATTGTGGTGACCTCCCTCCCCCCTGTGCTGCTTGCTGTAGCTCACTCCTGTCCTCCTCCACATATCCAGGTCATTGACACCCTTGCGATGCACCTGCCTCCTGAGAAGCTCTTCCAGCAGCTGGTCAGTGAGCTTCCTTATTTCAGCATTTTTTGTAAGCATTGTGAATACTGGGGGTGTCCAACGTGCACACAGCGCAATGCCTGTTGTGAGAATTTGCTCTGCTGTCTGTTTCAGACACCCTTCATGCAGGCCTGCCTGTCTAGTAAGAACCCCTATGAGCAGAAGGCAGGCCTGATGTGTCTGGCAGTGCTGGCCGAAGGCTGCGCAGACCACATGCGCACAAGGTAAGCTCTGCCTCCTATTACTTCATTGGCCAGTGGCACTGTCCGTCAGGTATTTACGCGCAGTATTACCCCTCCCTCTTCATGCTGGTTCTGCCGCGTTTCCTTCTCAGCATAACATAGTGTGATAACTAGAGATGCGCCAAACTGATATTCGGGGGTGGCTTTCCCGAAAACTTTGTAACGCTAAGTAGTTCGTAGATTTATGAGTGCTCAGACACACTCGTTATTTTCTACGTCATTCTTTATTTGAACTTTTGCCTGCCGTCCTGTCGCAGAGACACAGAGATTGGCCAAGACAGATGATAAAAACGTATTAACAGTGCATTTTGGACAATGTAAACATCTGGTCAGGTCAGGTTGGGGAGCATGCACTGATGCAGTGTGTTGCCACACCCACGACATGGCGAAACTCCTCGGGATCCCAGCTGCCGACCCCCCCCCAGGCAGACACATGGTCCCACACTCTGGGCATCCATTTGGCGCAGCCAGGTGTTATGTGGGCATCCCTTCAGCTTGGTAGAACCGTTCGGGTAACTGACGCTCCCTCACAATGCAGGTAATTCATTCAGGACTCCTCTAGCAACCACTCATTTGATGCAAAGTTAAACCAATGGTACTCAAAGATTCTCTGAAGAGACACAGTACTAAAGGTGTCCAGTCTTCATCTCAGCTCACTGGATAGCGTCCATGTCTCACAGCCATACGGAAGGACAGGGAGCACCAGGACTCTAAAGACTTGGACCTTTTGTCCTCTTGTAAAGATATCAGGAGCATCACACACCCCTTTCCGGCGACCTCACGACCCCCCCATGCTCTCCAATCCGTCTGCTGACTTCATAGGAAGAGTCACCAGAGACATGAATGTCACTGCTGATGTAGGTAAATCTCTCGACAAGGTCGACATTCTGCCCCGCAGACAGACACACTACTGATGGCTGTGCCCAAGAAGTCATTAAAGGCCTGTGGATCTTGGTCTTTATCCAGGACACCCTACAAGCCCAGACACTCAGACTCCTCGCTCAGCCCCTTGAGAGCCCCGATCAGAGCCTCCAGTCACTCCGCGAAGATCACAGCATCGTCGGCAAAGTCAAGATCAGTAAATCTTCCTTCACCAACAGGTGCCCCACAGCTACAGCTGCTGGACCCCACAACCCTGCCCAACATGCAATGAACACCCCTGGCGAACCCAGAATCAGCTGGGAAGAATGGGGAGGTTCCCCCTCCAATCTACACTCACAGTACCAGTGTACAGGCCGGCTATGACGTCCAGCAACTTTGGGGGGACCATGCGAAGTCTCAGGGTGTCGCCCAGGACAACTCGATCAACTGAGTCAAACGCTTTACAAAATTTGACAAAGGCTGCAAAGAACCTCTGCCGATGTTCGCGCTCGATGAGAACCCTCAGTGCCAGGATGAAGTCGATGGTAGACTTCTTAGGTGTAAAACCAGACTGCTCTGGTCGCTGACAGATAGGCAAGTAATCATGGATCCCCTTAAGGATGACCCTAGCAAGGACCTTACCCAGCACTGAAAGCAGTGTTATCCCCCTTTAGCTGCCCCAATCCAGGTGATCACCCTTCCCTATCCAGATAGGGACTACAAGTCCTGTTTTCCAGTCAGTGGGGATGATGCCTGACTCCCAAACGGAAGCAAAGATTGCCTGCAATGACAGGAGGACAGCCTTACCACCAGCCTGGAGAAGTTCACCCCGGATACCACAGATCCCTGCGGCCTTCCCTACCCCCAGCTGATTCAGCACCCATGCAGTCTCAGTGAGACTGGGTGGTTCACAGCTGATTGGGGCATCAGCCTCGAGAAGTGTGGACCCAGAGATGTCCAACATTCAAGCCAGAAGATCAGCTTTAAACAGATGCTCAAAGTAGCCGGCCCAGTGGGTCATAACTGCAGGGTCATCCATAAGGACCATTCCATCACCCGCCCTAACTGCAAGTCTCCGAGGAACAGATTCAGATGTGTGTAATGCTTTGATTTCTCTGTAAGCAGGATGTGGGTCACTAGAACACACTCATCAGAATCAGCTTGATCTGGGAGTCTGGCCAAGTCCAGCCTTGTTGTCCTAGTCGGTGGTAGCCTGCTGGAACATCAGATGGGAGGGTGATGATCTGGCAGTATTTTACGCTTTTAACTAGTAGCACAGTGATTTACAATCTTTGCAAAAATGAAGTTTTGAGAGGTGGAGTAGCATTTAGTGGAACATCCTATTAAAAAAAGTGTATGCAACTGTGTGAGACAACGTGAGTAATGAAAAAAGCAATGGATGACTTGGGAGTCGCTAGCTTGGGCTGTTTTGCGTGCTCACTGCAGCTTGGGCTGTTTTGCCTGCTCACTGCAGCTTGGGCTGTTTTGCCTGCTCACTGCAGCTTGGGCTGTTTTGCCTGCTCACTGCAGCTTGGGATACAGGGAGGGGCTGCGATCGCAGCAATGTGTAAATGACGCTGTTGCCATTGGAGAAACACTGTGGGGCATTTTAAGCATTCGCCACTTGCGTATCCTCACTTGGAAGATGTTCAAGTTGAACTGCAAATGCCTCAAAAACGCTTAAAAGAAGATGTACAAACGAGGTGGAACAGAACGTTATGTATGTTACCAGTAGCTTAATACATTTTTTGGCATACATTGTTTCATTTGTATTTGCTAGTTTAAAAATATTAATATATTAACTATAAATATATAATAATATTAAAGTAAAAAGAGCTGTTGTATCGGAATCGATCAGTATTGGTAGTCGTGTATCGGAACCTGAAAAAACATGGATCGGCTCCTCCACAGTGTTAACAGCAGAGCTCTCTTTCAGGATGCTGCCTGCCGTGTTGCAGACTGTGTGTCAGAGTCTGTCGGACAGCAATCAGCTGGTGCGCAGCGCTGGTCTCTTTGCTCTGGGACAGTTTTCCGAGCATCTGCAGGTGGGCAAGTCTTCCATGTTTTGCGTATCTGGGTGTCGTGTTTATTCAGTCACTTGTTCGAAGAATTTGTAAACGAACAGTGGTTACTTGCATATATTTCATTGTTCTGTTTTGCCATCCCATGCATTTTCCTTTTTGTGTGTGTGCATAGTTCTGTCATGGAATTTGCTGAGCTATTTGAGGTTCTCTTCCTCTCGCAATCCACTCAATGCCATCGTCCCTTTTTAGCCGGACGTCAGTAAATACTGCGCTGAGTTGATGCCGCTGTTGATGGGATACTTGTCGGGATTGAACCAAGCCAAGACTGGACATGTAACGAAGGCCTTTTATGCCCTGGAGAACTTCTTGGAGAACCTGGGTGAGAGAACACACTGCCGTTCCGTGAGAGAACACACTGCCGTTCAGTGAGAGAACACACTGCCGTTCCTTTTCTCTTTCTTTTAAGGCCCAAACTGAGAAATATCTGTGGCCAGTTTTGACCAAAAAGTGCATTTTATTTTTGCACATGAGATAGGGGGGCATTTCGAATAAGTTGACCAGTAGTTAGTGAAGCAGTTTTCATCCTGCTGTAGATGGACTTGAACTAGTCTGTAGTTATTAAATAGTTAGACAGACTGAATACCTCCTTTTTTGGAATTCTGGGTGACCTTGTACATCATACCAGTCTTTATACCTGAGATGGTGCTGGCATGTGTGCCAATTCTCTTTCTTTGCTGCTCATAGGTGGTGAAATCCAGCCATACCTGCCCAGTCTTATGGAGACCATGTTGGGTGCTTTGAACAACTCGGAGAACCTGAAAATTAAAGAACTGGCTGTCAGTGCTATTGGAGCCATCGGTAGGGCTGCACAGTATTCTGCTCTGACCGTTAGAAGGTGTCTGTGAATCGGCCCCAGTTAACCACGCCTATCCATTCCTATCAGCCAATGCCGCAAAGGAGATGCTGGTGCCATACTTCCCCCCGGTGATTGAGAGCCTGAAGGCTTCCCTCACGGACATACGGGAGGAAGTGAGGTGTTTGCAGACCCAGGCTTTGGGTCTGTATCTTTCAGCTTCATCAGCCTCCTTGTGTCTCTCAAACCCTGTCAGTTCTGTGTTGGGCAGCCGGGTTCTGACGCTCCCCTCTTGCGCAGACACGCTGTCGGTACTGGCAGCCGGGTTCTGACACTCCCCTCTTGCGCAGACACGCTGTCGGTACTGGCA